ACTATCACGCTTGAATTCCATAACGAATAACTTTTTTTTTCTGGAAAATTCTCACCAAAATACGTTTGTACGCTTGTAACCAATATAATGAGCTGTCACTGGAATAATTTTAACAGCTGTCAGACGAGTGGCTTAGAAATGACAGCACTCTGAAATTGGTTGCTATTTTTTCATCTCGGTCTGTATAGAAGTTATAATCCGGGATTTTTAAAGAAAATTGTATGGAGGTCTATAAGAGGTATAATCGAGGATTTTAAATATTTATTTATTTATTTATTTTTTTTAAGGGCTTTAAGGGCTTCTAAGCGAGTTTTTTTAATTTTCCTAGAGTTTTTAAGAAAGGATTTTTTGGGAATATTTTCGGCCGGTTCATATGAGCTATAATCGAGGATTTTTAAATGAATATTTCATGAATGGCTCTAGAAACTATTATAGTGGCGTTTTAAAGAATATCTTGTGCAGGGTCATATAGCTCTGATTTTTTATGAATATTTTCTGAAGGGCTATTGGAGTTTTTAATGAGGATTTTTTAATTGGTTGTTTTTAAATTTTTTTCTAAGTACCTTGTGGAAGAAATAAACAGAGTCTTTTTATACCCTCCACCAAAGTATGGAGGGTATATTAAGTTTGTCATTCCGTTTGCAACACCTCGAAATATTCATTTTAGACCCCACAAAGTATATATATTCTTGATCAGCATAAAATTCTATTATCGATTTAGCGATGTCCGTACGTCTGTGGTCCGAATCACTCTAGCATCCGAACGAATTGAAGTAGATTGATAAAATTTGACTCAAATGTATATTATGTCTGCAGAACTTTTGGGATTGAAAATGGACCTTGTTGGTCCGCGTTTTGGCATAGCCCCCATATAACGGTACCTCCCGATATTAGGTGTTTTGATGATTTTAGCGACATTATTCATCGGAGTGTGAGATGAATACTACAGTCTATGACAGAAAATTGTCTGTGCAGGTCCACGTCTACGTATAGCCTCTCGATATTCGGTACTTTGTTGATTTTAGCGACATTATTCACCGGAATTCTTTCAAATGTTGTGTTTGAAGTTCGTAGTGGATACCACAGCCTGTGACAGAAAATTGTCTGTGCAGGTCCACGTCTTCGTATAGCCCCCATATAACGGTACGTCCCGATATTCGGTATTTTGATGATTTTAGCGACAATATTAACGGAATTGTTTCAAATTTGGTACTTGAAGTTCGTAACGGATAGTACAGCCTAAGACAGAAAATTGTCTGTGCAGGTCCACGTCTACATATAGCCCCCATATGACGGTACCTCCCCATGATTTTAATGACATTATTCATCGGAATTGTTTCAAATTTGGTATTTGAGATTCGTAATGGATACTACAGCCTATGACAGAAAATTGTCTATGTAGGTCCAGGTCTTCGTATAGGCCCCTCCCGATATTCGTTATTTTGATGATTTTAACTATATTATTTACCGATTTTTTTCAAGTTTCGCATTTGAATATTGTAATGGCTTATGACAAAAGTTACCTTTGCAGGTCCATGTCGTCGTATGAACCCTAATGTAACAGCTACATTCGATATTTTAAAGATTTTAACAGAATTTTTAAAGGATTTTATTGTTTTTGAGAATTGCCAAATTCGTTTCAAATGGTGGAGGGTATTCAAATTTCGTCCCGGCCGAACTTACAGCTTTTTTATTTGTTGATCTTGACATATTCTCCAAAAGTTATGCGGCTGTTGTTTATAAAGGGTGATTTCTGGCTTTTATAATTTGGCAAACCTCTTTCAAACAGCTCACACACGTTTCGTGTTTTGTTTCACTGTCAAACATCGTCAGTTGTGTCCTTAATTTTAAGAAAATTAAGCATTAAGGTTTATGGGATGGATCTTGCAATTTAACGTCTTTAGACGCATTTTTGTAGAGCTATATCTCAAATCTATAGACATTTAAATGAAAAATGTTTACGTAACTGTATCTAGTGAAGATAATGTCTCACTAATTTCGATATAGTTGCGAGATTTGAGAATTTTATAATCTCGTATTTATATCTGTACTTGGGCGTCAATCATGAGTAAGACTTTGCGGTCAAAGTGAAATCGAACGGAAGCAAGCCAACAGATACAAATTGCAGTACTTGCAGCAGTTGCTTTTGAATTCTTCAACGTTGAATACTGTCAAGATGGGAACGCCAAAACAATTCCTCTTCCTTGAGCTGTTTATGCAACTCTTACGAATTGCATTTGGCAAAAATATGGTTTGCTACTGGGATATGAAGAGTTCTATAGGATATAGTAAAAATAATTCTACACTACATAAATCCTTAATTCAATTAACAATAAATCGAAATCACTTACAGGGTATTCCAAATTTACCAGCAACCATCTTATCCAGGGCTCGGCAAATTGTAGCCACTTGGTGTATGCTTCGGCCCATTTCGACGCCATAACCTTTGAAATTCATTTTCCGCAACATGATCCACCACTGCCTATCTTCAAACCGAAGACGTTAAAACAATCACATCCCAAGCTGAAGGTGTACCTAAGCCTGGGCGGTGATGATGATGCCAACGATAAATACGATCAATTGAAATATTTACATTTGATGGAGGGAAGTGAACATGCCCAGCAGAAATTCATTATTCGAACAATTAAATTTTTGAAATTACATCAATTCGATGGTTTGGATTTGGCCTTTCCCTTGCCGCGCAATCAGCCAAGTCAGCAATCAAATATAGGCGCTTTTCTCAATGATGTCAATAGAATGTGGGGAAGTCCGACAACAACGACACAGTTTAGTAAATTTCGTCCACTTTTTCGTAAATTTCTTGCAGCTGTAAAGGAAGCTTGTGGTCGAAACAATTTTCAATTGACCCTGACAGTGTTGCCCAATGTTAATTCCAGCCGTAAGTTGTTGTGGTTAGTTTGATTTTCTTATTTAATTTATTGTTATTGCAGATTATTACGATGTATCTGAAATCCATAAAAATGTGGAATTTATAAATCTCTTTGCCTTCGATTTCAATACACCCGAAAGAAATCCCAACGAAGCAGATTATTCGGCACCGTTGTATTTCAATGCCCAGCCAAGACGTCAACCCTATGCCAATGTGGATTTTCAGGTCAACTATTGGCTACAAAATGGTTGTCCCGGGAACAAACTTAATTTGGGTGTTGCCTCATATGGTCGAGCCTGGAAATTAACCATCGAGTCCGGGTTATCGGGTACGCCAATTGTCGAGGACACCCAGGGTCCGGCTAATTTTGGGAAAATGAAAGCCCACAACAGCTTACTCAGCTGGGCTACAATTTGCAAACATATCCCACCTCGACGACTTTATGGGCGCCCACTGATGGAATACACCGATCGATATGGCAACTATGCTTTTCGTGTTGCCAATCTAAATAATACCGGTGGCATTTGGATCAGCTATGATGGTCCCAAATTTGCTGCCACAAAAGCCAAATATGCCATGGACAAGACTCTGGGTGGGGTGGTGTTGTACGATCTGAGTCGTGATGATTTTCGGGGTCAATGTTGTGGTATTGATTTTCCAATTTTACAGTCCATACGAAAGGTGTTGAATGTTATAAAATGATATTCGTGAGAGCCCAGTGGCAAACTGAGTTTTATACTTTATGTGGCAAAAATTAGTTTTTCATTTTTTTGGCATTGGATACATTTTGTGTTATTGTTATTATTGTTGTTATTATTATTATTATTATTATTATTATTATTATTATTATTATTATTATTATTATTATTATTATTATTATTATTATTATTATTATTATTCTTATTATTATTAGTATTATTATTATTATTATTATTATTATTATTATTATTATTATTATTATTATTATTATTATTATTATTATTATTATTATTAATAATAAATAAATATTTCTTTGAGCTTTAGGACCTAAAGCTCAAAGAAATATTTATTTATTGAAATTACATTGGAAAAGGTCGATTAAAAAAACAAACTTGAATTATTATTATTATTATTATTATTATTATTATTATTATTATTATTATTATTATTATTATTATTATTATTATTATTATTATTATTATTCTTATTATTATTATTAGTATTATTATTATTATTATTATTATTATTATTATTATTATTATTATTATTATTATTATTATTATTATTATTATTATTATTATTATTATTATTATTATTATTATTATTAATAATAAATAAATATTTCTTTGAGCTTTAGGACCTAAAGCTCAAAGAAATATTTATTTATTGAAATTACATTGGAAAAGGTCGATTAAAAAAACAAACTTGAATTATTATTATTATTATTATTATTATTATTATTATTATTATTATTATTATTATTATTATTATTATTATTATTATTATTATTAAAATATAAATAAATCACACTATCACGCTTGAATTCCATCACGAATAAGTTCTTTTTTTTGTGAAAATTCTCACCAATATGCTTTTGTACGCTTGTAAACAATATAATGAGCTGTCACTGGAATAATTTTAACAGCTGTCCGACGAGTGGCTTCGAAATGACAGCAGTCTGAAGTTGGTTACAGTTTTTTCACATCACCCTGTACTTTCTATGAATCTTTAGAAAATATTCTCAAAAATCTTCTAGTATCTTCTAGTTCAATTATGTTATTCTTCATAAATCCTCATAATCATTCCCCAAGGCTTTCGAAAAATATTTTTCTGGAGCCCTTCAGAAAATATTTTTTAAAAAATCCCCGATTTTACCTCTTATGTCCCCCTTCATGAAATATACCTATTGAAAACCCCAATATCAAATCCAAAAAACTTTAAATATATTCTTAAACATTTTCTTTTATGGCTCTTACAGACCTTCAGAAAATATTCTCCCCGAATATAGCTCCTAAAGCCATTCAGAAAATATTCTTTAAATAATTCCCAATTGTAGCTCTTATCGTCCCACATAAAATTCTGTTTAAAAATCCTCGACAATAATCCTTATGGCCATTCAGAAAATAAAAAGTTCATAAAACCAGGAAGCCCCGTGGAGATCAGGGGCTAATGGTATATAAAATATGCTCCGTATTATTCTCACATTTTTCTGACATTACAAATCATAATTACAGGAATAATATAACATGTTCAACGTGTTAATACACTCAACAAATGCAAAGCATCAGTCACCTGTGTGGGCGCCCACGATTTCCTCGACGGCTTGACAAGCATTTTTATCCTCCTCGGTGTAGCAGAAATGACACGCTTTTGGGGGTTTGCTTTAATACTCAATACTCCTCGAATGGACTGTAAAATTGGAAAATCAATATTACCACATTGACCCCGGAAATCATCACGACTCAGATCATACAACACCACCCCACCCAGAGCCTTGTCCATGGCATATTTTGCTTTTGTGGCAGCAAATTTGGGACCATCATAACTGATCCAAATGCCGCCGGTATTATTTTGATTGGCAACACGAAAAGCATAGTTGCCATATCGATCGGTGTATTCCATTAGTGGGCGCCCATAAAGTCGTCGAGGTGGGAAATGTTTACAAATTGTAGCCCAGCTGAGTAAACTGTTGTGGGCTTTCATTTTGCCAAAATTAGCCGGACCCTGGGTGTCCTCGACAATTGGCGTACCCGATAATCCGGAATCGATGGTTAATTTCCAGGCTCGACCATATGAGGCAATACCCAAATTAAGTTTGTTCCCGGGACAACCATTTTGTAGCCAATAGTTGACCTGAAAATCCACATTGGCATAGGGTTGAGGTCTTGGCTGGGCATTGAAATACAACGGTGCCGAATAATCTGCTTCGTTGGGATTTCTTTCGGGTGTATTGAAATCGAAGGCAAAGAGATTTATAAATTCCACATTTTTATGGATTTCAGATACATCGTAAAAATCTGCAATAGAAATTAATTAAATAAGAACACCAAACTAACCACAACAACTTACGGCTGGAATTAACATTGGGCACCACTGTCAGGGTCAATTGCAAATTATTTCGACCACAAGCTTCCTTTACTGTTGCAAGAAATTTACTAAACAGTGGACGATATGACGTTGTTGTCGGACTTCCCCACATTCTATTGACATCATTGAGAAACGCGCCTATATTTGATTGCTGACTTGGCTGATTGCGCGGCAAGGGAAAGGCCAAATCCAAGCCATCGAATTGATACAATTTCAAAAATTCAATTGTTCGATTAATAAACTTCCGCTGGACATGTTCACTTTTCTCCATTAAATGCAAATATTTCAATTGATCGTATTTATCGTTGGCATCACCATCACCGCCCAGGCTCAGGTACACCTTCAGCTGGGGATGTGATTGTTTCAGTGTCTTTGGTTTGGTAATAAGGTGTATGTGATGTGGAAAATGTATTCCAAAAGTTTTCGCGTCGAGATGGGCCGAAGCGTACACCAAGTGGCTACAATTTGCCGAGCCCCGGATAAGATGGTTGCTGGTGAATTTGGAATCTCCTGTAAGTGATTTTTATTATTTGACAACTGAATTAATAATTTATGTGGCACTTTTTCCCCACCATATCGTTGGGAGCTCGTCACATCCCAGTAGCAAATTAAATTTTTGCCAAATGCAATTTTTAAAGAATACAAAAAGAGCAGAATAAAAATTGATATTCTTGGCGTTCTCATCTTGAAAATGTTTAACGGTGAAGAATTCAGAAGCAACTGCAGAATGTCGCAATTGGTTTATGAAACTCAGATGAATTACTTTCGATTTCACTTTGACCGCAGAGCTTTAGTCATGATTGACGCCCATGTACAGATATAAATAGGCGAATGGTATTAGAGAATTCTCATAGCTCGCCCATAGAATAAAATTAGTCGGACATTTGTGTTAGTAATTATAGTTATATTTATACAATATAGCCAGCAACAGCTAGATAGATCTGGTACTAATTAAAACAAATAAAGAAAGGACTACAGTTTGGCGGGGCCGACTATATGATACCCTACACCGATATGCGTATTTAGTAGAGCTCCCGTAACAAAAGATTGTATATTGGGAATTTATGTCAAGTAGATCATACCAACTATGAACCTTATTTGAATGCGGATCATGGCTTTAGAATATTCACATTTTGGGAACTTTAGCCAACTATAAATCAGTTTTCAATAAATTTGACGGAGGCTTTTGCACCTCTAGGGCCAAATAACATTGTTCTAATGTGAATGTGCTCTATAGCAAGGGCTATAGTCGTGCGTGTCCGACAATGAGATACCCACAATACTACAATATTTTAGAAGCCCCCTTATATCCAAATCCAGTTTGGAAGATTTCGCTTTTGAAATTATGTCATAGAGCACTGCTCAGATATTACCCTTAGCATTTGGCCAGGGACCTTTGCCCCGTATTTACGCACTGCGTCGTGCTTTTGGTTATAGCTAAATTTACTCCAATGGTCATCCAAAATGCTAGACTTCTTCCCTGTCCTTAACTCTCTTCTCATGCAAAGTTCTGCGTCGACTGCTTTCAATTGTGTGATCAGGAAATTTTTTCTTTTTTTTTGCGATCATCTCCAAATGCAGGAGGTCCCTCTGCATCTCCATATTTAGATTCATCTTTATGATTTGCTTGTCTACGATATTTGGCTATATTCTTCAACGAAACTTTTTAACTAAACTTTTATGCCAAGATGGCATTCGGAATTGACAAAATTTGTCAAAACCATTCTAGCTAACATTTCCTTCCTTTGTATATATATATATATATATATATATATATATATATATATATATAGAACTGACCTTTTCGTCTATTTGTGATTTTGTCGAGATTAAAAATGTTCGCAGTTAAATAGAAAATTTGACTTTCATTTAACACAAATGTTATGGTCTATTTCACCCACTAAATATTACCCGCTGACCGTCCAAATTGGTTGGCTTCTGCCCAGCCCTAAGCTCTATCCCCATGCTAACTTCCGCGTCGATTGGTCTATAATTGCGACCTGTAGAGCAACTGTAAAATCAAGCAATTTTTCAGTTTTCGGTCCATTTCAACCCCTAAATATTATGCAATCATCTCCAAAAACAATAGGTTTCTATCCTGATCATAACCCTACCTCAATACGAAATTTCGTGAGGCTCCGGCCATAATTGGGACCTGTAGAGTGATTACAAATTAACATGGACAGACGGACGGACGGACATACATAGCTAGATCGACTCAGCTCGATCCTATGTGGGAAACCAATATTTCGAGGTGTTACATAATTTTTGGCCCAATCAAACTTATAATACCCCCAACACATAGTGTTGTAGGGTATAAAAATGAGCTCGAGGCAAAGCCATTGAAATTCCAAAAAGTGCTACAACTTACACCGCAACCGAAAGAAGTAGAATCAAAAGAGCTAAAGAGTTGCTTCCCTTGGCCGAAAGTGGTGAAGTGCCGAATTTGGTTTTCTCCGCTCCCCGATGAGAAAACATTCGTTGTCCAGCAGTTTGTAAACAAACAAAATGATCGTGTTTACTAGCCAAAGAGGTCAGCTGAAAATGTGTACCTTCGGTTGGCCACCAGAACTCAAGCACCATAGAGATGGTATGGGCTGTCATAACATAACCTTGGCATCAGAATAAATGTCCAATATTATCGCTAAAATATTCTCGCTACAGACCCTGGACATTCCAATAGGACTCAGCACCATTGCACGGGACACCCAAGAATGGTAACAAAATGAGGTTCCTCGCTTCATTTCCAGCGCACAATGTCCACCAAAATCTCCGGATACCAATCCGTTGGACTATTGTATCTTGAGTATGTTGGAAAGCAAGGTTGGCACTAACAAATACCAACGTGTCGATAACCTCAAGCAAGCGCGTCGCCGGGAATCGGCCAAAATACCGCAAAGCAACATTCGGGCAGCGTATGACCGTTTGAAGGCCATAATTCGTGTCAAAAGTGACCAATTCGAACAAATCTAAACTTATTAATATCCGATTCCATTTAGATTTGGCACATCTGAAAACTTCCATGTACACACGATCTGTTATAAAGACGGTGGAGATCGGACCATTCCTTCTGGTACTTACCCCACAAAGGATCAAAAATTTTAATGAAGAAAACGTTTATAAAATTTGAAAAAATCATCAGGTTCTCTATATATTTTACACATTCCATTACTTCTACTAACACAAGGTCTGTTATAGAGATGGTATAGATAGGACCATTTCGTCAGGTATCTTTCAACAGAGGATTTGAGATTTTTTGAAACAAAACGCTTAAAGAAAGCAAATTTCACACATTCTCACATCCAAATATTTTTGCTAACGTAAGATCTGTTATGAAGATCATATACATCTGCGAACCCCTTCTGATACTCACCCACAAAGGGTCGCAATTTTCACTCTTTTTATCTGTCATTACTATATCTGGTACCTCACCTCTTAACCAGAAACCTGAGATGAATGTGGAATTTATGATTTCACTTAAATTGGATGTAAATGTTCTATTTTCTTGTGATTTTGCCCATCCAATAGCGTGAAAATGGAATGCTTCGGTCGACTATATCTGGTACTTCACGCACATGTTAACATTTTCTTAAAATTATCTCATATTTCATGCAAAGTGAAGGAAGTTAACAATATAGTCCAAACCTGGCACGTCGCAATATTTATATCATATTTATTTACGTCCGTTACGAAATGGACAACATTTGCCCATACCTTCAGAACACTCTCCAAAGAGGGTCAAGAGTTCGAATAATTATAACAGATGTCAAATTATATTTATCTAATCGAATAATACCTGAGGGTATACGTCTGTCGGCAGAACCGAATGATACTTTTTAGTTTGTTTTCTAAATTTATTGGTTAACGTAAATATGACCCATGTTCGGTTTCATCCTATATCCAGAGAAACAAAAAACTCTCTTTTTATCCAGTCTTTGTGAATCACTGGCAAAGAAGTGTGAAAAAATGTATGAGTGAGCATAATTAAAAAAAAAGAAAAACTTCGCAAAAAAAAACCATCACAAACAGCCATAACGATAATAGCAACAAACACGGCCACGACCAACAACACAACACACGTCGCCACCACCACCAACAACGGCAAAAACAACAACAATAATGTATGACACAATATTAAAAATAAACTGAAAGCTATGAATTTTTTATGTGAAACAATTGTTTTTTTTAATTACATTAAAAAATATTACATTAAATAATATTAACAAACACAGAAGGCCACAAACGAACAAAAAAAAAACGGAGTGAAAAAATGGAAAACGTTTATAAATACTGGTGGTGCTCGAGCGTAAAAATAAATTAATATTAAAATCGATTGGTGAAAATAAAAAAAAAAAATGAAACAGAAACATTAATAGCAAGGACAGAGGCGTTTTGCCATTATGGGTATCATACCCAGGAAAAGACCTATTACTTTTTTCTGTAATTATGGAAAAAACTAAAACTGCTTTGCAAATTTCATACATATTTGTATTCATAGCTACCTATGAAATTTGCACAGCTTTTTTAGTTCTTTCTATAATTACAGAAAAAAATAATTAGAAGTAAAGCCAAAAATGGGCGTTTCGAAAGTTAATAATGCAAGGTATCTTACATAAATGGGATAATTTCCTCCATGTATCAGTACCTCAAGATATTCGGTATTTTCACGATTTCACGGTACAATATTCACCGAAATTGTTTGATATTTCGTATTTGAAGTTTCTAATAGGTACTACATCCACGTTTTTGTATAGCCCCCATAAGAATTTAAGAATTTATTTATTTATTTTATTTTTTTTTTGAAAGTTGTCAAATTCGTTCCAAATAGTGGATGGCATTCAAAGTTCGGACCGGCGGAACTTACAGCTTTTTTACTTGTTTAAAATATGGATTTTTAAAGAGTTTTTTCCACTTTTGATTCTCTTTCGAAAATGTTATAATATTTAAATTCGCATCCTAATTTTTTAAAAAATTTATTTTTTCAATTGTGTACTTTTTTTATACCCTCCACCATACTATGGAGGGTATAAAATTCTAAGACGATTTAACGATGTCCGTCTGTCCGTCCGTCTGTTGTAATCACGTTATCTTTCGAACAAATTGAGATAGAATGCTAAATTTTTGCAGACATGTATATTTTGCCAGTAGGCAGGTTAAGTTCGTAAATGGGCCATGTAGGTCCAAGTTATAATATAGCCCCCATATAACGGTACCTCCCGATATTCGGTATTTTGATGATTTTAGCGACATTATTTATCGGGATTGTTTCAAATTTCACTTGTGAAGTTCGTAATGAATACTTCAGTCCATGCCAGAAAATTGTCTGTGCAGGTTAATATTGTGATAACTTATGACTATAAATATTGTGATAACTTATGACAAAAGTTGCCTATGCAGGTCCACGTCGTCGTATAGGCATTCGGTATTTTTAATATTTTAACATAATTTTTAACGGATTTTATTTTTTTGGAAATTGCCAAATTTGTACCAAATGGTGGAGGGTATTAAAAGTTCGGCCCGGCCGAGCTTACAGCTTTTTTAATTGTTAAAATATATTTTTGGGCCGTAAATTTCGTGCGGGCCAAACTTTTAATACCGTTAGAAATTTTCAAAAAAAAAAAAAAACTAATAATCAGTTAACAATTCTGTTAAAATCTTATAACTGCAGAATATATGGAGTAACCGTTACATTGAGCTATACAAAAACCTGGTCCCGTATAGACAACTTTCCGT